CCCTGATGGCACAGTGGCTTAAAAGCTCAGCCGCTAACCAAAAGGGCAGCCATTAGCTGCTACTAGGAAACCCTATGGGGCAGTTGTACTCTGTCCTATACGGTCCCTATGAGTCGGAATCAACTCGCTGGCAAAGATTTTGGTTTTTTTTTTGGTTTCAAGGCACAAGTGGAAGCTTTGAGGTCCTTTATGCAGCCCTCGAGCTTTGACTCTGAGGCCCTGAGATCATCTCTTTCTTTCACCACTTTGTCTAGCAAAAGTAGGAGCAACGAACCAGCTTCCTTATAGTTCTCGTTATGACAAAATTTTAGAAAAGTATCAAACATGCTGTCACCCAGAGCCTCACCTCTCACCAATACCTGATCTATTTGTGGTGATATTTTGCATATTTCCATTGTCACCTCATGCTATGGATTAGCAGTGCCATCGTTACTACTGGAAGCAGAGTCATCAACATCTTTAAGACTAACCACGCTTGAAAATCAATTTAGAAAACTCATTCTTAAACAATTTTATTTCTCTAGAACCACTCTCGGTATCAAATGTCTTAGGCTGGGTTCTCTAGAGAAACATAACCAGCAAAGCATATAAATATATATAGAGAGAGATTTATTTCAAGGAAATGGCTCAAGCGCTTGTAAAGGCTGGAAAGTCCCAAGTCCGTGGCTCAGACTGGAAGCTTCTCCTGGCTCACAGGCTGTGGAGACCGACGAATCCCAAGATTGGCAGGCAAGACAGCAGGTAAGCTGCTAGCTCAAGTCCCAGGAATTAGAGGTCAGATGAACAGGAGCCAGCTGCAGGATCCAGAGTGAGCAAAAGCCCATGAGCCTTGCCAGAAAGTCCACCTATATTGGATGCATGCCACATGCCCAAGGAAACTCACTTTCAACTGATTGGTTCCTCACAGCAGATCCCATCATACAAGTGATCACAGTATATCAGATCTCATCATGGAGGTGATTACATCATTATATGACTGCCACACTACATCATAACTGCCAAACCACTGAGAATTATGGTCCAGTGAAGTTGTCTCACAAACTTAACGATCACAGATAGCTTCTGCCTGAATCAATCAATCTGTCTCTGGCTTTCTCTGTCTGTCTGTCTGTCTCTCCCTGGACCACTTGCTCTGGGAGAAGCCAGCCACCATGTCATGAAGGCACTCAAGCAGCCTGTGAAGAAGCCCAGGCAGGGAAGAGCTGAGGCCTCCCACGGAGAGGCAGAACTGACTTGTCAGACATGTGTGTGAGCCAACCTGGAAGTGAATCCTTTAGGCCCTGGCAAGGCTTCAGATGACCACAGCTAACATCTTTTTTTTTTTTTTTAAATTTTTTCCCATACAACAATTTATACATACATTGTTATGTGACCCTAATTGCTCTCCATACTGTGACAGCACACTCCTCCTGTCCATCCCTGATTCCCCATATCCATTCAACCAGCTCCTAACCCTCTCTGCCTTCCCATCTCATCTCCGGACAGAAGCTGCTCATTTAGTCTCTTATATCTACTTGAGCTAAGAGGAACACTCCTCACGAGTATCACTTTATGTCCCACAGTCCAGTCCAATCCCTGTCTGAAGAGTTGGCCTTG